GTGTGTGTGTGTGTGTGTGTGTGTGTGTGTGTGTGTGTAGGATGTCAGTGTGTACTGGAGTGGTCTGCAGCTGCCCTTTCTGGAGCTGGACTGGTTCTTGGACGTCTCCTCACGGATCAGCCACCTGGACCTGTCGTCCAACAGCCTGGGGGCTCTGCCCTCGGTGGTCCCCTGGGGTCTAATCCACCTGAGAACTTTAGATCTTTCTAACAACGTGTTGAAAGAGCTGCCCCTTGCTCAGAACTCCCAGGATGTGATCTGTTCCAGGTACCAGCATGGTTCTGACCCCACTCAGTCAGGAAAAATCCCTCCTCCATTTAAAATTTCAGCTGTAACCCTGAGGGTCAAAGGTCATCTGTTTCTCTTCTGATGTTTTCTCAGGTTGCAGCAGGTAAATCTAAACCAGAACCAGCTGAGAAATTTACCAACTGGACTGCTCCACCTGGTCCACCTTCAGAAACTCTGTGCTGCTAAAAACCAGCTCACAGTCCTGTTCCACATCCCTGCCAGTACGTTCCAACYCAAAGTATTTATATTTATACTGTTAGTACATTTTATACCCTTACTTTCAGTGACATGGATACTCAGCTTTAGATCTTGGTCCTTTAATTGACCCGTTTGGTCTGGTTCTGACTCTTAATTTGACCCGGTTGGTGTGGTTCTGCTCAGATGTGAATTGGATCGGGCTCAGGAAGCTGGAGGAGCTGGACGTGTCTTATAACTCCCTGAGCGCTCTCCCCTCGTCGGTCATGCACTGCCTAAAGTCGCTGGGCTCTCTGGATGTGAGCCGGAACAAACTCAGCTCCTTCCCCGACCCCTGGGCCTGCCCCCTGGTGAGAAACCCTCCGTCATTTAAAAGTACAGAGGTTAGACAATGAAACTGAAACACCTTATCATTTTAGTGTGGGAGGTTTCATGGCTAAACTGGACCAATGGTGGYCAGTCTTCATTAACTGCACATTGCACCAGTAAGAGCAGAGTGTGAAGGTTCAGTTAGCAGGGTCAGAGCACAGTTTGGATCTAAATATTACAATGTACACAACATTATGGTGACATACCAGAGTTCAAAAGAGGACAAAKTGTTGGTGCACGTCTTGCTGGAGCATCTGTGACCAAGACAGCAAGTGTTTGTGATGTATCAAGAGCCACAGTATCCAGGGTAATGTCAGCAGATCACCAAGAAGAACCAACCACATCCAACAGGATTAACTGTGGACACAACAGGAAGCTGTCTGAAAGGATGTTCAGGTCTAAAACCAGATGTTTCACTTTCATTGTCTAACCTGTATAATCTGGTTGTTCTTCATGTTGGACCTTCTGGGGATGAATGCATGAAATCATTTCTATAATTCAATAAATGTATTAAAGGAAGCGTTACATTTCCTACTTTACTGGTCATCTTCATAACAGTGCTGAGCAGTGTGGTCTTCACTGTTAATAAATATCATGATGCAGTTTTGTTCCTTCTGGAGAAGAACAGATAAAGCAGATCCTGGTCCTCCGGCTGCAGCTGATGGTGAAAATTAAAACCTTGCTGTTGTACTTCCTGTCTGGAGGACAGCAGATAGTCTGTGTTTGCTCCATGAGGGTGCAGGCGTTCCTCAGGGAGGTGTACTTGGTCCTTTACTCACATGACTGATGTAGGAATTTCAACACAAACCAGGTCCTGAAACCTGCTGATAATCCAACTGTGGTGGACTCCTCAGCAGGGAGGCGTCTCCAGGAGGAGCTAGAGAGATGGAGGTCTAGGTTTCTCTCCTGGACCTGTTGGTTCTGTGAAGAGAAGATGTAGAAGATGATGAAATGAAACCCGTTATTTTTAACATAAAAGCTGTAAGACTGATGCAACAAAGGTTTATTTTTTAATCTCTTTCTTCATAGAAACAATGTAAAGCTTCTTCCAATTTACTTGAGAATCTTCCTGACACCATCTCCATCTTCTGGAGGACTCAGCTGCAGGAGGTGGACTTCTCTGACAACCAGCTGAAAGAGCTGCCATCATATATCTTTGAACTAGAGGTAAGAATTATTACATCATCTGTATAAATCTTAGTGTGTTTGGACAAATGTTCCTTCCTCCTCACCTAGAATCATTTCCACCTGTTAGTTCCATGAAGACATTTTGGATTTGAAGTTCTCAGAAGCTGAAGTTTCTGCTGTAAAAGCTGATGTTTGTCAGGAAACAGGGAGTTCTAACATGTGTGACCTCAGCCTGAGGAGCCTGGTGCTGACCTGGAGTGGATGAAGGTGTTGAAGATCACATCGTTCTGTGTTGTGATGAGGGAAAGTGCTGCTGGTGTTCCAGCTGATTGTTGTTGAAGAACATCATGGTTTGGTTCACAGCTTCTCCTCCTCTTCCCCCTCCTCATGTTCCTCCTCCTCCTCCTCCTTTCAGGCCATCATCTCTCTGAGGCTGAGTGGAAACCTTGTCTCATCACTGCCAGCTCCCAACAAGTGGAAATGTTCTCAGCTCAAGACTCTTGATCTCTCCAAGAACCAACTCGGCAGGTTAGTCCCCACACACACAAACACGCACGCGCGCGCGCACACACACACACACACATACACACACACACACACACACGTTTCTTCTTGAATGCGGTGGGGACCTTCCATTGACTTCTATTCATATTTTTTAGCCTTTATATCCTAACCCTGACCATACTTTATTCTAACATTAACCTCACAGGTACCTACATGACCCTAAAACTAACCTAAAACTTGGTCCTAAACCTAACCCCACACCTGTAACTAAAATTAACCACTACTGGTCTATAGTTAACCCTAACCTGAACCAGAACTTAAAGTCATATGAAAAAGTTTGAGCAGCCTTGTTAATTTTCCTGATTTACTTATAAATCATTGATTGTTTGGATAAAAACATCAGTTAAATATATCATATAGGGAACAAACACAGTGATATTTGAGAAGTGAAATAAAGTTTAAATGATTTACAGAAAGTGTGCAATAATTGGTTAAACTAAATTAGACAGGTGCATAAATTTGGGCACTGTTGTCATATTATTGATTTCAAAACCTTTAGAACTAATTATTGGAACTTAAATTAGGTTTGTTAAGTTCAGTGACCTTTGACCTCCAAACACAGGTGTCTCCAGTTAT